ATTATATTATTATTATTATTACTTATTATTATTATTATTATTATTATTATTATTATTATTATTATTATTATTATTATTATTATTATTATTATTATTATTATTATTATTATTATTATTATTATTATTATTATTATTATTATTATTATTATTATTATTATCATTATCATTATTACTATTATAAATAAAGAAATAAATAACAATAAAGCAATAATAACAGTAATAAGCAATCAAAAAAAATACATTATGAATGATAACGAGTAATGTAATCTCCAATAATGAATGCATAATATATTAATGGATAATTATAATTAGTCGATATCTTCCGGAGTGACCACTCGGAACAATTGATATAAATTGAAATGGTGAAATGGCGACATTTCATCAAACTTATAGCAAACTTAGTAATTTCTCAAAAAAAAGAAGGAAAGAAAAATTCAAAAATTTGAATAGTATCAAAATTTTTGATCATAATTTTTCTTATCAATTAGACCGCTGAATTTAGATCAGTTCTTCTTTTTTGGTCATTCATTTCCCTAATGACACATAATATCATTATATTTCCCTATCTTTATCGTTACTTTTTTTCAGTTTGCGATAATACGCCTAAATTTAAAATTAACTTGAACTAAATTATGTATTTAGGTTAAACTTTTTTCCAGACATGTTGACAATTGTAGTCAGCGGCCCAATTTTTCTTGCGCAATTTGAAAGGCTTGGCCAACTTATTACAGCCACCGGGCGATTTTTCCGGTACTATTTGAAAAGCTTTGCCAATTTAGCTCACCTAATTATTCGAGCAATCTTTAGAACGACACTAAAACAACATTGGAAAGGTGTGAGTGTCACTGAAAGACAATGTACGTCTGACATATTTTGCATCATTTATCATCATTATTATTATCAGAATCTGTAGTTATAGCATGAAATAAAAAAGAAATAATAAAAATAAAATAGTATTTTACCAAAAAAAAAGAAAACTACTGGAACAGAAATATAATTAATATTGAGCAAATTGATACAATTAAATGAAATAATTTGGGAAATTTAATTGCGAGACAAACAAAAATTACTTTTTTACAAGTGGTTTACAAATTTATAACTTAATGTTTGAAATTTCTAATAAATTAGGCAGTGCTAGTGATAATATAACAGTATATCAGTTAATGTGATTAGCCGCTTATGTACACAGGCGTAATTAATTATTAACAGATTAAAAATATTCAATGCAGCGGATAAATTTTTTCTTTTTTTTCTAAAATCAATTTAGTCGATTCAATTTAATTAATTGCACATCCATGAATTCCATCACGTAATCATCTTTTGACGTGAACCTTGATGCAATTAACTTAATTTTTTTCAATCTACCAATTTTTTGTAAGCATGGCTAAAAACTAAGGAAGCAATTATAACTTATTTGACATTCCTTAAATACGAATGACACATTTAGCAAAAATATGAAAACAATGGATAATAAAATTACAGAATTTATTATATGGCGCAAATGTCACAGCATTAAAGACGTTATGAAAGTAAGGCAACAGGCCAAATATCAGTAAGGCCAAATATCTTTTCTATATTAATTATGTTGCGGTGTAAAATCAATGAAAGAAATGTCGCATGATAATGTGAGGAAACACATAGGCCATTTTTAATATGCCATAATTTTAATATGCCATAATAAAAGGAGAATCTTCTATTAACATGAAATGAATATCAAATTTCACTGTATAATGAACCATTTCATGATTATAAAGAAGTGGACAATTTGCGCTCAATAGATTTCCATCAATATGACATATTGCCGAATGATCATATATATAATCAGACAAGATCATTGGGACTTTTCGACACGTTAATTGACGTTGATTTTTAAAATGAGATCGGAAATTAAGCAATTTAAAAAATGTATAAATAATTATAATTTCAATGACTTTCATGCTTGCAAAAAAAAAAAAAACTGGAATTTTTTTTTGTATGTGTGCCAAATGATAAGGAAGCAAATTTGATAAAAGAGGATAACTTTGAAAGATTTGTTCAAAACTAATTTCTAGTTTGATAAATTTCAACTCTCGAAGAAATTTAAAACTGACGTAAACAACAACAACAACAACAACAAATTATATTCATTCATATTTTGCAAATAATTTATCGTAAATCACATTTAAATTGCTTGAATTAAAAGTTGAAAAGAAAAAGTAAAAAAAATCGTTTTCATCAAATTTATTTATAATTAACCAATTGTATTTTAGCAAAAAAAAAATAAAAAATCCGAAAGATATGTTTTCTCGGGAATTTTTTTCTCTCGATAACATACAATTCTAATCAGTCATTCAGTCGATCAATCAATCAATACATCAATATGTCACTATGGTAAATATATTTCCTTGTCCAAATAATTAATCAAATTATCGACAAATTAGCATTATTTTAAAATTTTTCCGTATTTTTCTCATTCTAGAGGAAAAGCAAACAAAAAAAAGCTAAAATAGCAAGCATATAAGCAAGGATGATTTAATTTTGATTAATTATTATAAAATTCTGCAAAAATTCAAGTAAAATCACAATTAATTAATCAATTAATGGATATTGGGCAGCATTCTTTTCTCTTTCTCGCTTTCTTCTCTACTATGTATCATGGGATTATCATAAACATACAGAAGAATTTTTTAATGAATTGACGACAATTGTTGGTGACACCAAGTGAATGCTTCGTTCATCAATATAATCAAGATCCGGTAAATCAATCGGTATTACACCATCTGACCTGAAACATTTGAAATTATAAATTTCATAACAGAATTGATTATCAATATCATTGCTAAAGTAGCATTATGAGCTTGCAAGTAAACAAACAAGTAAATAAGTGAATAAATATGTAAATAATTGATTAATCAACTAATTGTTAATTCTAACAGACGAAATCACAAATTATAATAAACAAGTTAAGACAAACAAGTATCGAATGAATTTTCGTTTGTCTACCGAAGTTTCTCAATCTTATTATAATTAATTAATAATGACAAATTTTTGACAATTATTGTCTATCATAAGTTAACAGCATGTTTTTTTTAGTAAAACATACTGTAACATATAATGTACAATTATTGTAGCAGTTTAAATAGGAAAAAAGTAATGACCCTGAATGGGAATAGTTTGTGATTATCATCACTGATATGATCATATACGAATATCGAAATAGCAATAATTCTTACTTACTCTTGCAATTAATTCCATGCAAATTAATATCACTTTTAATCGAATAATGATTTCTCATTTGTAGCATATTTACTCATTTCAATGTTAGAATTACTTTTTATCAAAATTAAACAATCATTTATTTCCAATTTGTCCCGTGTAATGAGTTGAAAATAAATAAAAGTTCAATTCATATACTTAAATATTTGAATAAAAGCCTTTAAGGTTTGTAAAATATCCTAAGTTTTTTTGTTTTTTGTTTTTGCTTTTTTTGTTATTTATGCAAAAAGAAGAGATATTAACATGCTGCATTTTTTACTTTGGTAAAATGTCTTATGAAGGTATCCTAATGATTATCACTAATTTTAGTGATAATCTGTTGCCTGTCAATTTAACTGAAAAGCATATCGGAATGTATTTTAGTAAAGCCAAAGAAGGAAGCAATTTTGGTGGAAGGATTAAAGCGAGAATGTTGGAGGCAGAGGTAGCAAATTTAGAAGGCGAGAATGAGTGAGAGCGGGAGGATGATAAGTTTAGAAGGAGAAAGTCGCGGGAAGCGGGGGAAAGTGGATAATAGGATCATTGAAATTTGCGAATGATGCAAATGTACTCATAATATTTATTATAACATTCGGTAAATTAACTAAAAATAAAAAATAAAGTTTTATGACAATTACAGGAATTGTTAATGATTGTGAAATGATCATTGTACTTTATTGGAAGCGATTAATTTAATATATAATTATGAAATTGAAAACCTGTTCTTTTTTTCCTTGATAAAATGAATTTCTGAAATTTTGATCCTGACACTGTAATAATATTTTGAGCTATCGTCATCATTAGTGTTATTATAAAGAAGTCGTTCAAGGATGGCAATTAACAATTGCAAAAAAAGTTTTTAATGAATGAATGTAATTAGTACAAAAAACCAAAATTCTAGAATGATCTAATGTTAAATAAAAAAAAATGAAATTATTTGCAAGTCCAAGCAGGAGGTAACACAGGAAATAATTTGATAATTAGTATCTCTTACCTATTGTTATAAATTCCTCATACCTTATCATATTTTATATAATCTTACCTTCATAAGACTTTATGCTATATAATCGGCATTATTACCTCGTGTTAATACTAATGGATTTATATGAAATTTCTCACAAATAAGTCTCAAATAATCTAATCTTGCATAACATTTTTCAAAACATTTTCTTATTTGAAGTTAAATTTAAAATTAAAAAAGTATTTAAAGCACTGAACATTCATTACTACCTCATTGTATCAAAAATATCAAACACAATCAAAAAGTGTTCAAAGTTAAGTCGTAAAAGAGTAATAAATAATGAAATGTAAAAAAAAAACGAAAAAAATTCAATTTCAAAAAAAAACAGAACCTTAATAAGATATTATTGGGTGTATCGTACAACATTTCAGTGAGTTCATTTGGTTCTGTTCGAATTGTTTGACGATAGGAACGCTTCGAATAGCGATTTTTCCTCGGAAAAAATTTACCTTTCAGAATTATAATAAGTAAAATGATGAAAGCAATTAGAGCAACAGTAAGTGTAAATATTAGCAAATATTTGTTTATCGTTTCTTCCTTCATTACACTGAAAATGTTGAAATTACTGCTTCATTTTTTCTTCTCCTTTTTAAATTTCATTAATGTAATTTTCCAATTTTTAATTAAAATTTCATCGAAGTAATTTTTCAATTTTAAATTTTCTAATTAAAATTGAAAATCTACTATTTCATAGTAATGATACAGACGTGAATTGCAAAAAAAAATTTGATATTGGAAAAAATAAATTACCATGGAAAAGGGGAATGAACAGAAGAAAGTGGTTTATAATGATGGGGAAATAAATAAAATTGAAAAACGAAAGTTTAAATGAGTTTGAATTTGAATAATGAAATAAAATTTTCGAATAAAAGTGACTTTAAATAAGAGGGAAAAGAAGAATTTTATTCCTGCAAACTATAATTTGTAAAGTTTTTGAAAATTTGAATTATCCAATAAAATAATAGCTGAACAAATGCGTGTCATTGAAATGAGAGGTAATCTTGAATTTATGATTGAAATCACGAATAGCCACAGATAACTAAAGTAGGTTCGTTGTGAAAATTATACTGAATAATCGGAATAATTGTAATCGAAAATAGTGAAAAGTGTATTGCTATTAGGAATAATTAATAATAATTCAAAAAAAAAAACGAAATTGCTAGTTAATATAAAAATTTTAGGCATAAATGACAATAAAAACAGTGGAAAAAATTAGTATGAAAATCGATTAAAATTTTTCAAAATTTCTGTTCATATAATTTCTACAAACTTCAAAGTTGTAAATTAATTTTTGAAGAGTGCAAATTGTTTTTTTGTTTTCAAATAAAAGGCAATATTTAATTAATTTATTTTTTTCAAATTAATGAAAGATGAAAGAAAATTTTCGAACATTTTTTTTAGATGTATAAAAAAGATTACTGAATGAATTGGATAAACAAAATATGAATTAATGAATGGATGAATGAATAGATAGATTGATCAATATATCGATATGTCGATCGGAAGAAGAATAGATGATCGAGAAATGGATAGAGAGATCGGCGGGTGAATAGAATGAATCGATGAATAGATTAGAACGATTGAACAGGTGAACAGGTAAATGGATGGATAACTAACTCTTACTTCCGTTCTGAGGTATTACTTCTCACAACTAAATTATATCAATTAATTATAAATGATCGATTGATTACAGCAGACGGGGAGAGAGAGAGAGAAGAAAGGAAGAGTTATGTTAGTAAATATTTGGTAAAATGTTAGAAATATTGCTTAAATATTCTTATTCATCAAAATGTCTGAATAAATTAAATGATGACAATTGAAATGTCCAAAATGTTAATAAATAAATGAGTAAATCATTTACTTTTAATTATTGAAACCTAATTAATTATAAATAATAATTGTCAATCACTGAACATCTGATATACCTTTTCATGAAAACAATCATGCTATAAGTAATGTACAATTGCGCACATATTTTTTATCAAATATAAATGTAATTATAATTTTTCATAAAGTGTTAATTACATTATATCATTAATAATAACTCATTAATAAATGAGCGTTTTAATGATTAATTAAAATTTCGAACATTAAAATATTTCAATAATTTTCCTAATTCATTTATTGCAACAATATTGATTCATTAATTATTTAACAGGAAAAAAAATAAACGAAGACAAACATACATTTGCAATTTATTATGGCTATTTTTATTTTTTTTAGAATGAAATTTTTTTTAGATAAATTTATTATCGATTAAAATAATATCATCGAAAAATTTCCATTTTAGTGTGGTTTTTTTTTCATTGATCATTTATTTTATTTATTTTCCTTTCTATGACATAATTTATTATTTAAAATTGATTGAATGACAGTTAATATGAATCATCAGACAAACAATGATTCATGTATGAATATGTGCAATTTAATCAGCTGAAATAAACGGAACAAATTATGTAAAATAAAAAATAAAAATAAAAAATGAAATGAAATGGAAATGAACTGAAGTGAAATAAATTGAACTGAATTGAACTCGATTTAAATCAAATGAAATGAATTGAAATGAAGTTGAATGAAATGAATTGAATTAAAATATATTGAAATGAAATGAACTGGATTGAACTGAATTGGAATTGACAAATGAAATGACGAATGCAAAATTTGTTGATATTAAAAGGAAATTAAATTCCGAAACAATCTGGACCACATCAGCACTCAATGTTCTGATTAATGGAAATTAGATAGAATGAATGAATGAAATGGGACTTATTAGACGTGAGGGTTGTTTTTATTTTTGTCATTTCCATTTTGTAAAAAAAGAAATGAGAAAAATTTTCTTAAATTAAAAAATTTAGATGACAAATGCATGTCAAACAAACAATCCATCTTTCAAAAAGAAAAAAAATGAAATTTTACAGACACAAAAATTAATTAAATGGATAGATGGTAAAGAAAGATGAATAAATGTAATTGATCAAACTGCAATTAAAATATTATAAACTAGGGTTTTATTAATTGGTGGATGAAAAATGAATTTGTCATTTCAAATTTTCTCAAAATTTACAAAAATTCAAAAGTATTAAAAAGTAACGAGTAAAATTTGATATTCAAATTACATGATTAAAAGGTAATAGAATGCTGTCCTGCCGGTTTAATTAATTTAGCAGTATGTTCGTTACGGATTAAATATGGATAAATCGGAAATACTTTGAATATTTGTTAGTTAAGACAGTTATCAATTAAAGCAGACAATTAAGGAGTTGGGTTAAGGAAGGGTTCGGCTAAAGGTTAATAGCTAATTAGATGCTTAATAGTTGATTACAATACAACATATATTTTCTGTAAGCTAATATTTCTTCCTCTTCAACGAATGATATTTTAATCATTTTGCTTATAACCTTTATACAAAATTAAAGACATTTATTTGTTTATTTACAAATACAATTTTGTCCTTTTCCTGAATTTAATCAGTGTAGTTTATCAAATAATCACTGATAATGATGGATTACTCGAGATGCATTTTAAAAAAAAGGGCCATATCAATGAATAACTTAAGGTATGAGTTTGTTTTATTAATTTAGGGCAACAAGCTATTTGTCGTCTCACGCTTTAGACATAAGATATGTGCCAAATCGAATCATTTTAATAAAACTAAATGATCTTGATGAAACTATGATTTTGATGATAGTGCTAATTAGTAATTAGTTTTCTAAGTCTAACATGAAAATTTTCAATAACAATGTCGCCCAAATATAAAGAAGAAGTACAAAAATTTAAAATTAAGTAAAAAAAATTGGAATTCAACAAAAAACAAATTTTGAAAATTGAAATTCTATTTATCTCTTTTTTTCAGAGAACAAATAAAAAGGAAAAATTAGAAAAAGCCAATGACTTTGTAAATAAAAAAGATTTCATATAAAAGTATGTTTTACAATTATTTTCAATTCATTATGAAGAATGAAAAGAGTCAATATTTTATAATTTAAATTAATAACTGATAAACCGAAATTGTGAGAAAAAATTGAAAAACGAGAGCTTTTTTTTTTTCAAATGATCAAATGTCAAGCATGCATATGTTAAATCAAATAGTTAATCATTTGCCAGATGTAATAAATTCTGCTCTTTTAATTAAATTTATGATACAAAGTTCTTTTCCTTTTTTTTTGATTGGATTTTATAGATGAGCATAATTAATAATCGCTGGTTGTTAATGGTAAAGTGAATATCAAATTTTATACATTTCATAAAAAGGTTTTCTTTTCTTTTTTTTTTAAAAAATCTAAAGGGAAAACAACATGTTAACTGAATATTGCCATAGCTGGGCGTCGCAAAACAAAGGTTTGGGAAAAGTTGTGGGAATCCACGCTTGCGGAAAACTTGGATGTACCCTTTGAGCATAAGCAGTGGATTTTTGGTGAAATGCGAAAGTAGTCCTACCCTTTGCTTTTAAAATTCATCTAACAGAACCTAGAAAGTTAGGACAAATTCTCAGGATGTAAGTTTAGTTAGAGTATCCTTCTCTTAGATGGATACCCTTAGAGGGTTAAGTAAGCTCCATCTGTTCGGGTTTAGAATCAGAGTTATCCTTCTCCTAAAACAGTTGCCGAAAGGGTAGCAGCCACATTTTTCTCGTGAATACATAAGACCGGATGCTGAAGCCACCGCAAGCATAGCATGTAACCTCATTAAGATATGCAGGCTTTCCTCCGCGACAAAAGGATATCCGCTGAGAACCTAATGTGCATAAGGTAAAACATTCCATATATTCATTAATCTTTTTACTTCCCCCTATAAACATTGATAATTTTTCAAAATAAGAAAAAGAAGGAAAAACGCTGAAAAATAATGATTGATTTGATAAGAAGAAGAGAAAATATTTTACATATGCATTGAAAATTTTAGTGAATTCCAAAAAAAAGAACGAAATTAAATAAAACGTTTCGCCTTAAAAATTTAAATTGGTTATAATTGAAGAATTAATTAAATTAATTTATTATATCAAATTTAATAAATAATAACTGACAAAAAGAAGCAAATCACTAATAAGAAAACGAAAGGTTAATTATAACGTATTAAATAAGTAATTCATAATGGAATCCTAAATAAAACAAAATTGTATTAAGTGTATTAATATCATAGGGATATTAGTGATGTTAAATTTTGGAAAAGCGCAACAAGATGGAATAATTTGTATCATTTTGTTCCATTCAGAGAGAATGCAAGGGATAATGTCGCTGTTGCTAAGTCCGGAAAAAATGTAACAGAACGGGATAATATCGCTGTTATAACATTTAGGAAGAATACAAAGGAGTAGGATAATATAGTTGTTGTCAGATTCGGATCCGGAAAGAATGCAATAAATCGGGATAATCTTGTCGTTATCATTTTCTACGTTCCGTTGTCATAGTTATCACATTCAGAGCAAATGCAAATAGGATGGGGGAGTATCATCGTTTTCAGATTCGGGAGAGTACAACGGGTGGAATAGAATGGTGAGCATACGGAGAAGTCGATGGGAAGTGATGACAAGTGATGTTATCAAT